AAAGCCAGATGGTAAGAGCATGCACTAGGTGGACTCAACAAAGTAACACACTGTGCTTGGGGAGAGACATGCATTTAAAATAAATGGATTAGCAGGATAAAGTCTCTTAATGGTGGAAAAAAAGGGAAAATAAGTCCTCATGTTCAACAAAGGCTTATAGATTCCTCTCTCAAGATATTCAGAAGAAGATACCCATCTTGAACTTCATAAGCAGCTTTCAATCCCATGTTAGGGAAAAGTGACAATTCCCTAACTGAAGCTCATGGTTTCTGAAAATTTCTCATAAGTGTAGGGGGGCTTTCAAGATCACAAAGAAGAAATGTATCTTATTTCATTAATTAAAAGCTTAAACACAGATTAGTATACCATCATGCAATTCATTATGTATGGTTGAACTTAAGGAACACAAAAACATGGACAAGTACACTATTTTTATGCTTCCCACATCTGATTTCAACATATAAGAAACATAAGGAAGGTTTTTTATTCATTGTTGAAATGACTATAGTTAGTTATCATGGATGGAAAAGCCGTAAGTGTTAAATTAACCACAGGAGGGCTCCACTAACATTCCCTGCCCTCGGATCAAAAGAAACATATGGAGACATGCATGAGAATTCACAAAATTATTCAACACAGGGTCTACATCTGTCAAACAAACATGTTTCTCATTTAATGGAAAACCTATGAGCACACACAATTTCATAGATAGCTGTCTAAATATACTTTATCAAAAATATTAATAGCAACGAAGTAAATTAATATCATCTGCCAAAGCTATACATTATTTCCCTCAGACTTTTGCAGTATTTTCAAAATCTAGGAAGTAAAGGATTTTTTAAAAAATGGATTCCTACCTGGTGCTATATTCATACAAACAGAAAAGGCTATATTCATACAAACTTAGGATTGGGGGGGGGGGGGGGGGGAGGACGGGACCTGTGACATGAATATCTGTTTTTGCTATGCTTATTTTTCTTTGTTCCTTGGGAGTTCATTAGTTCCTGCTGGTTATTCACCACCTGAAATCATAATCATCTGTTTGTGACATCACAATTAGTTACTGTGAAAATGATTAGTGTGTCACAAACAGATGATTATGATTTCAGATGGTGAACAAACAGCAGGAGCAGATGGACTCCTAAGGAACAAAGTTCCTGATTTCATGCAAAAGTCTAAAGTAATAAATGAGTTAGGGAAGAAAAACAAGTGTTTTCAAATAAAAGGTTGTCAGTGGTTTTTTGGATTTCACATGGACATTTCAGATGTAGGCAAAGTTTAGTCCTGACGGATGCACAAAAAGGAGAACTTATTTAGTCCATGAGTTTCGGGAAACCATTCTAATGCTGTTTTGAAAGCTTGTCTCCTTTGATGTACAAAGAAGCGGTCTGTATTTGGACGAGGAGTATTTCAAACACAGACTGTTTTGTGTGACACTTCAGCTACACCTTGGGATAGAAACAATAATTGCTAGACATGTGTTAATGCATGCATCTATGCTAGGACATCTTCATGTACTGTGGTATTATGGCCTTATCACCTATCTAAAATAGCTATATGACCATATTATAATCGTTAGCTGGTATCCTCTGCAACTACATCCTATTCTCTCACATCCTGACCTCTTTGCCCAGCATACATATAAATATATAACAGCTAAATATATACCTGCTAAGGCTGCTCTAAGGGGTCTAAATGTCCTAAGAGCATTAGATTCCATCTAAAATTGTAAACTAAGCAGGATCAGACCTGGTTAGTACTTGGATGGAAGACTTCCAACAAATCAAGAGCTGCCGGCTATATGGCAAAAGAATACTCTGAATATTTCTTGCATAAGAAATTCTATGAAATTCATTGAATCACTGAAGGCAGAGATACACAAACATAAAGCTATTCTCCCTGCATCTGATGAAATAGACTTGAGTCCACAAAAATGCATGCTAAATAAAAATGTGTTAGTTTTTGAGGTGCTACAATACCCTTTCTTGCATTTTCCCAGAGAAGAGAAGTGAATGGCCTGCCCAAATAAATTCTGGAGTAAGCAATTCTTTATGATATTTTGAGGGTTATATAAACAAACAACATAACTTACAAACAAAATATTTTCCTTGGTATTCTTTCCTATCCCACATCCTGGGCCTCTTAATAGCTCGTCACACTAAATTTAAGCATATTAAGCTTGTTCGAGAATCGAGTCAAAAGTCAGGAAGCACTTTGTATACTTTTCTTGTTGTCGTTGTTGCTGCTGCTGCTGCTGTTGAGAGCATAGGAGTTGGAAAAGAAAAAAGGTGGTTCCATCTAAATGGAAAAGCATAGGAGGTACTGTACTTGGACTAATTTCAGTCAGAAACCACAGACAAAGCTTCTGCAAGAATGCAGTAAGGAACTGACAGATAAGTGAACAACTCCAAGCTTCTGTCATTGTGACCGTAGGCACACCTGTTCCTCACAGTGAATAGACTGGTTTGTCTAGCCAGTCACAAGATCATAAGAAGAGCTGTGCAGGATTAGACAAAAGGCCCATCCAGTCCATCATTCTGTTCTCACAGTGGCAAACCAGATGCCTATGGAAAAAAGTATAAACACAACAATTGTGCTCATGTTCCCTAGCAACTAGTCTTCAGGGCCATACGGCATCATCCCATAGAAGACAATCTGCTGTACAAAAATGTACTGTATCCAACATCCACAAAGAATGCAATCTTTTCTATAATAGTTAGTGTTTTTGGCTTCACCACAGTTAATCCTGGGCCACTTGCTCCTTGAGATCCCTCATTATCAGCACAGAAAGCCCCAATGCAGGCTCCCCGAGGCAGATCTGTGAAGACATAGGGGGAAGATTATGTTCTATTATTGAACAGGAGACAGACTAGCCATCACTCTTAAGTTCTGGCTCACAATCCCTCCTTTTTGGCTATTCTTCTCTTACTGTTGGACACTAAAACCAGGAAGAACTAGCAAATACAGACAAGAAGAACTAGCCAATACAGACTGTCCTTTTGCTCACAAATTACCTCCTGAAACTGCCCTCAATTGGAAGAAAGATGAGGAAATTTTGCAAGGTGCAAGGTGAATGTTAAAGTCTAACAATCACCGTGGGCTAGACCATGCTTGCAAATGGTAGCTATTTATTTCTTAACGGGAAAAAATGAAATCCTAAGTGGGTATGTCTCTTTTCACGTGCTGATTTGGAACATGTGTTTGTGAAAGAGAGGGAGACTTTGGAGAGACATATTCAAACCCCAAACTGTTGCTTCAGAAAGCAAGGGCCTTATTCTCCTCCCCTGTTTTCACTCCTGGGGGATATCAGACTTGGATACTGCACATCGCCCACTCCTAATTAGAGAGCTAAGGTCTTTCTACACTGAATTTGAAGACATCAGGAAACTTCAATGAATCATCTCTGCAGAGGGTTCACTATTAATCATAACTTCACAGATTTCCTAGTCAGTAGCTCCTTATAAAAAAGATAAACGGATTATATAGTCGTGCATTCTCTTGTTGCAATAGCCAAACAGATGTCTATGAGAAGTTCATGATCAGGTGGAATATTGCTGTTATATTTACCATCAAGAGCAAACGAGCACCAAAAATCAAAACACTCATGGCTTATGTAATTATCACTGGTACCTCTTCAGGATCTAACACCTTCTTCTTGCCTATACTCATCAGACATTATTTCAGTAACTTAAAGAACTCAATGTATTGTCGAAGGCTTTCATGGCCGGAATCACTGGGTTGTTGTAGGTTTTTCTATATGGCCATGTTCTAGAGGCATTTTCTCCTGATGTTTCGCCTGCATCTATGGCAAGCATCCTCAGAGGTAGTGAGGTCTGTTGGAAGTAGGAAAATGGGTTTATATATCTGTGGAATGACCAGGGTGAGACCAAGGACCTTTGTCTGCTGGAGCTAGGTGTGAATGTTTCCACTGACCACCTTGATTAGCATTTAATGGCTTGGAAGTGCCTGGGGGGAATTTTTGTTGAGAGTGATTTGATGTGCCTGATTGTTTACTCTCTGTTGTTTTGCTGTTGTAATTTTTGAGTTTTTTAATACTGGTAGACAGATTTTGTTCATTTTCATGGTTTCTTCCTTTCTGTTGAAATTGTCCACATGCTTGTGGATTTCAATGGCTTCTCTGTGTAGTCTGACATGGTGGTTGTGAGAGTGGTCCAGCATTTCTGGGTTCGCAAATAATATGCTTAAAGAACTCAAGCCTGAATTCTCACTAGAAGCCAAAAAGAAGAAACAAGGCTACTGCACTTTGGGCATATCCTGGCCAGGAAAATTTATTGGAAACGATGCTAATGCTCTGTAAAAAAAAAAAGCAAAAGGGAAAAAAAGAAGGCTCAATTACAAATGGACTTAATCAATTACAAAAACTACAGCCTTGACCTTTGAACAAACCTCTGAGGATGCAACCCACAGATGCAGGTGAAACGTCAGAAAAGAATGCTACTGGAACAGGGCCATACAGCCTGGAAAATCTCACAGCAACTCACTACAGCTTTGAGTTTGGAAGACCCAAGAAGGGCTACTGAAAACTGAGTGCTGGTCTTTCATGTATAATGCTTCCATACATAAATGCTAATGTCACAGCAAACAGTAACAATAACAACACCAGTAACAACAGCAAAGCCTTGTGACAGTGCAAAAACAGAATAAATAAATGTATCAAATTAAACAGAATTGATAATTTGGCACATGTATTTCAAATGAGGATGGCAAATTTCTATCATAAACAAGCCAAACACAGGCTGTAACTTTCTTCACTAGATGATATATCCATAATCTATATATCACTCCTTCCAAGCCTCTCTCTCTCTTTCACATATAGAAGATGCATTAGAAAACTTGTGGTGAAAGTGATCTTACAATATCCATTTGAAAGTGGGTAAACCTGCATGATGCAGTAGCATTTTAAAATAATGGAGATCAACAAAATGCTGAGCAGAAGGTGAGAGAAGAATGAGAATGATGAATATTGAAGTGGCACTTACAGTCATTTGCTGGTTCGGGATACCCAACATTTTGGCCATTCCAACTTTTGATCTCTCCTGACTGACAAAAAAGAACAGAAGAGACTTTGTAAAACATATAAATGCTATGAAATAACTTTAATAGGAGGATGAATGTACTGTGCTCCCTCAATATATTATGCTTTTTGGATGTTAGTTAAGATGTTAATATAGCCCGAAAAACCCCACAAGAACTGAGTTAATTAAGATGTTAATTCTTACCTTTTCTGACTGCTCATGAAGTGGAGAAGACACTTTATAGCCAAGCTGTAGCAACATCACTTCAGCCGCATTTCTTTTGGCTATTTTCTTGCTTGGGCCTGTTCCTGTTGTGATATAGCTTCCCACTTTGACCTAGCAAAATGGAACACTAAATGTCAGTCATTTAAACATAGACATAGTACATTATATTGTTGATGACAAATTTTTTGCATGCTAAGCCACAAACTAATTAAAAAAACTCCAGATGTTTGCTTTGTTTTGCCTTTTCAGTTGTCTGTTATATGACTGCATGCTTCCTAATTGTGGTTACATGAGCAAACTATGGCTTGCCTCAAATCGGGAAGAAATCCAGGGATTGTAATAGTGGTCTGGGATTAGGGAGAAGAGAGTCTAATGTTATACATACTTATGAAAAGAAATCTGAAGATTTTAAGTGACAGAAAGCAAAGAACATACATTTGAAATTCTTATAGTGTTTATTTTGAAAAAGTTGAACTTGTGTGGTATAGCAAACTAACTCTTAGGATCACACAAAATAAATCTGTGTTCAAACTTCTGTTCAGTGAGGAACGGCTCTTGCCTACCTCAGACTATTTGAAAAAACACATTTCCATATATAAACCAGCTTGGACATTACGGTCAGCAGAGAAAATCCTGCTCTTGGTCCCATTCCCATCTCAAATGCGGCTGGTGGGAACGAGGGAGAGGGCCTTCTCCGTGATTGCCCCTCAACTTTGGAAGGCTCTCCCGAAAAAACAAAAAAACAGCCCCCTCCTTACTCTCTTTTAAAAAACTACTAAAAACGCACTTATGCTCTCTAGCATATAGAGAGGAGTAGGTTTCAGATTAGATCATGTTTACCATCTGGGAAAGGAAAATGGCACCTTTTACTTGTTTGTTGTCATACAACATCTGGCAAATTTAAATGTGTTAGTATTAATTGATTTTATATGATCTACTGTTATATATATATATCTTTGCTATAAACCACTTTGAGTCCCACTTGTGTGAGAGAGGGGGGTATAGAAATAAAGTTAATTGTTTATTGTTTATTATAAGTTCCTTCTGCACACAACTAAAAATTACATGAAGAAGAACTGTGTACCTTGGCAAACTCTACCTGTCCAGCATCACCTTTCTTTTCTTTCCTCCACTAGTTGAAGAGCAAATGTCTGATGTGAGAAGCCTCTTTTGTTTATGGAGCCTTCTGATTTGATTAAACCTCCTGAAGATCAGGGCTCTTAATCATGTAAGAATGAAATCCCTATTAGACAACTTCCTCTTTGCCTTCTGGGGAAGGTGATGCTTTTCAACATCTCCCCTTCTTCACTGTACAAAAACAGAATGCCTGTCTGGGGCTTGCCCCAACCTTTCACACTTGTCTGTTATGTGTATAAAATAGGGAGAAAATTACAGAGAAAAAAGGATCATCCAGTTTAGCATTTGTTTTAATTTGATGTTTCCAAAAGGATAGTTTATGTGGAAGAAAACACAAGCCTTTTTCTGTGACTACCACATTTATAGTTTGAAAAGAAAGCAATACAAATGTCTTTCTTTCTGCTAAATAAAACTAAGAATCAACTGCATGTCATATTTTAAGAAAAATCCATATTTTACTTAAATATTTGGAAAATAGAGTCGAAGTGGAAAATTCTGAAATCTTGAGTATATAAAAAAATCACAATTTCTAGTCATGGTATTTTCAGAAAATTACTGTTAGAAAATTAAGGCTGCACTCTTATACACACCCACTCACTGAACTGAGCAGAGCTACTATAGGATTGTACCATAAATGATTTTTGTAAACTATAATGAATGAAAATTCATCGTATGATGAATGAACTGCTATTTCTCAGACCTGTAAAGATGGTTTAGGTATTATTGTAACCTCTATCAGGGACTAAAGGTCTGACTACAAAGAAAAGGCTTTCTGAAATTAACTTGGGAACAGAACACCAACTAATGTCATCAGAGGTTTTCGTCTGTTTATCTAACGGTCAGTATAAGTAATGGGATCTATTTCATCACATCTAAACTTGCTTTTTGTGTGACAGATAAAAATGAACATATTATCTCTGGATACTTTACTTCCACATTCAATTAAGACAAAGGAAAACATGGTTTAAAACTTTACACAAAAATATTTTACTTTGATAAGATTTTGAGGGCCATAATAAATCTACTGGGATCTTGTCTAATGTGACATGATTTTAGTGTGAACATATTGTAAAGAGGATCATATGTCTTAGCTATAAAGTTTATTTACAACTAGGAATATAAATGAACTAAAAGCGAAGGCATTCAAGTAAGTGAAATATGTCTTGAAGATTTTGAGGAGAGAAATTCAAATGCTTGATTATTTCCCCATTGAAATTGACTAAGAGTGTTACACTTTGCCTGGATTATGTCCTCAGAGCTACAGAAATACTAACTTAATATGACATGTAGCTCTTTATGTTGTCTCTATTTTTTAAAGTATTGGGGCACAGCCCTCCAATAGCTGGGTGAGAAATTGTTCATTTTGGATATTTTCTATAAACTCCACAAAACTATCTCCAGAATTCATATTAATGGTCCCAATGACTTCTTTCTACATATTAAAAACAGTCTTAATTAAACTAACATGGTAGATGACAAACATTCATTATTTCCAAAGAATATGGTTATTTGCTACATTAAAACATACTGACTGATTATTATGAAATTACATAACCTGATGTTGTGTGTCTTCAGATCTTTTCTAACTTATGGTGACCTTCAGGGGAATCTAGAGCCAGCACAGTATTGTGGTCTGAGTGTTGGACTAGGACTCTGGGGACCAGGATACAAATCCCCTGCTCAGCCATGGAAACCCACTGGGTGACCTTTGCTAAGTGACTCCCTCCTTCTCTCTCAGATTCAGGGAAAGGCGAAAGAAACAACACTGAAAAAATCTTGCCAGAATGATGATGGTGATGATAATAATAATCTTCATTTGTACCCCGCCACGATCTCCCCAAAGGAGACTTGGGGCGGTTAACATGAGGCCAAGCCAAAAATTATAATACAGTAAAATAAAATACAAAGAAGCAGAAAATACCATCAAAAATAAATACATGAAGTAACAAAATAAAATAAACAATTACAAAATAACTTGATACAGAAATAGAACACAGTGGGCGGGCCAAATGCACTAGGATGAAATTGATAAAACCCTGGATGAAATAAGTAGTGGGAGAATGTGTTTCGGAGGGAGGACCTCAAAAGGAACAAACAATGGTGTTAGACCTTTATTAGGGGCGGGGGGAATGTGAATCATGAGGATGGAACTGTAGTTGGAACAGACAAAATATGGAATATATGTTCACTTGCCAAACCATGATAGGTTTTCCTTAGGATTGTCATAAGTGGAAAATGACTTGAAGACAGATAACAACAAAGAGAAACATATCATGGTGTCTTCCAAGCGGGACTTGTTAAGAGGGGGCATGCTTTTGCCTTCCACTGGGGCTGAGAGATCATCCAGTGGTTTCTAAGGCTGAGAAATTATTCATGTCCTGGTCTCCAGTGTTGTAGTACAACATTCAAACCACTACATCACTCTGGTTGCATAATAACAGGGAAATAAATTCACATGAAACAAGAAAAAAGAGAGATCTGTAATACAGCTGGGTGAATATCTGCAGTTAGGGAAAAATATCTCCTGTAGTTTTTGCTATTTAAACATCATATTACTATCATCATCATCATCATCATCATCATCATCTTTATTTATGCCTCATCATTCTCCACATGGGGACTAAAGGCAGCTAACAATCCACAATAGGCTAGTTCAAAAGAGCTATACAAAAGTTAGCCTAAACAAACAAGCAAACAAACAAATAAATAAAAGTGCCCATTTTAAAATAGTAACTTGGAGGTACCTGCATGACAAACTCCCGGCAATAACGAGATATTGCTTTTTCAGAAAGCAAAAGATACTCTGGTTCCTTTTCTCGTCTGGCTTGCTGAATCTGGGAAAGGCGGCTTATAGGGTTAATTCCCTGACCATATTCTGTTCCAGTCTAAAGAAAATTGGAAATTAAATTAGGATGTTTGCTGACATGCATCATGTGAACATTTAGAAAACAGACACCTCTCTCAGCAGTTTCGCTTTCCCCGTTAAATGTTTGCATCCATTGTTTGATTCCTGAAGGAATTAACTACAGAAATTATAACTAGCAATACCCAGAGCGCATCTTGTTTACCGATCAAACTATTCTTCTACTCCCCATCAGACCATCTATTTGGCCACAACATATTTGCATGGGAATGTTAGGGAATATACTGTGGACAGAACATATAGCGTAGAATAGTTTTTCATAAAACTATGTTAGAAATTACAACCTTCTTCAGGCCTCCTCTAGTAATTTGTTTATCTATAATCCTGTTGCTTACTTATTCTATGTATGTTCTGATATGCAGCTTCATTTCTTTGCTCTATGTTTTCCTGAAAAGTTGTGGGAGGGGCTGCAGACCACATGATCCGCTCTGAGATGATCACAGACTTCTTTAGACTTCGGGACTGCTCAGATTGCACTCTTACAAATGCTAGCTGTTTATTGTAGAGAGATGTTCTGACCAGATGGCACAGAAACTATCTCAAACATATCTCTAATTGACTGGTAAGTTGTGTACTTGTGTATGCTGAACACACAAAGGTCATGAGTAAACCAAATATGTTATTTTACCAAAGTCTACTGTATTTTGTCTCTTGAGTGCATAATCTAAACAAGTTGTTTTATGGGAAAGTAGATATATTTTTGGGCAATGAAAAACACTTCTGCTATTTATTGTCAAAGGCTTTCATGGCTGGAATCACTGGGTTGTTGTAGGTTTTTCAGGCTATATGTTCTAGAACCCACTTCTGCTATTTTTGTGCACTGGTATATTCTGTTTCCTAACAAATCAGAGACAATAGATTATTCAATCTAACAATGGAAGCCAATTGCCTTGCATAGTTACATTTGGTTGTATACCACTTGAGAAGATTCTGCTCAAATTGTTGTTTTGTTTTTTTTTTGCTCTACTCTGAAAGGTTATGATCTTTAAAGGGTCATGCTTTTCTAAAAACTAGAAGGCGTGGCAGAAAGTGTTTTTGTCTTAAAATATAGAGGCAGAGGATCAATATTTTTCTCTTTCACTTTATGAATAGTATTAGAAAGAAGAAATTCAGAACTGAGACTCTCATATGCTTATTTCTTTGTGAGCAGTATTACCACCTCTATTGGAACAACTACAGAATTCAGTAACCTACACATTGGGTGAAGTAAGCAGCAGAGAAACTAGCAGTACTATGGACTGCTAGGAGATTAAGCAGCAAGTAGTGTCTATTGCTCTACTCTGTAAAATTAATGCAGATTGATGCCATGGCTCAGTGTTATGGAATCATGGAAGTCATAGTTTGGTGAGGCACTAGCACTCTTTGGCAGAGAAGGTTTAAAAAAATTGTAAAACTAAAACCCCAAAGAGTTACACATCCTGTGGTACCTGATTTTTTTTTAAGTCCATTAAAATGCTCAATACCAAATTGGACAATGACTTTTAAAGTAATTTCTAATGGTATATTTCTATACTTGGGTCTAATTTTCGAGTTTTGTGCCAATATAAGTGCTTTTTTTTACTCCGGGATTACTTTTATTTAATTGGTTTACATTTGAATGCGTTCTAAGATGCCTCCTATCTGGTATGCTTTGTTCATTTAAATCCTATCCACAATTCTGTGGGTAAATTTTACTGGGCCATTTATAAGAAGGGAAAGGAGAAAGGTCAGAGAGATCAAATTTCTTAACATTACACAACAAGACAAGATTGAAAGATAGCTTGACACCCATCCCTCCACCCTCAGAGAGTCGATATAAAGCATCCCCCATGACAAATTAAGTGCAAGGAAAATGCTTGCTTGAAGTAGATAGCTATCAACACTGATAGCAATGTAAGATGGGAGTAAGATGTGGGGGAAATGAAACACACCTTAATTTATCTGATGCAATATATACTGCAATACTAAGGATTCATTTATAAGTGCACACAATGTTTACCTATAGTAGTGAGATTGGCAAACCATTTAAGTCAAAGTAGGTAAATTTAAACGACTTAATTACTCAAATGTACTGTGCTTGGTTATAGGCCATAATATGTCATTAAATTTTAAATCACTGCAATGACTTGAGTTTCTACATTAGGAGAAAGGGTGGATAAAAATAAAAGACATCTATACAAATAATAAAAGTGAAAATATGTATATGGGTGTGGCTGGCATGTCCATTTACACAGACAAGCTCCTGCCTCCTCAAACAGCTACAGTTCCCACTACTCAGGAGACACCAATGGCCCTCCCTCCAGTGACACTGCAGGTTACAGTGAGTGACATGAACATGTACAAGAGCCCTGCCAATGTCCTCCACAAACACAATACTGCCCACCACCCAAGTGAAAGATTTAATGTGGGGAGAATTTCATCCAAGATTTCATGTGTTTCCTCCACTACAGACACCCCAGTGTTTCTTACTCTCATAATTGGTATGGAATTTGCATTACCCCATCCACTGCCTCTCCCTTGATCCTTTCCTATTCTTTTCTATGGCACACACCAAATAGAGGGGTTGATCAGCAATGGAACATAATAGAGAGATTTGGGGAGAATTCACCATGATTTATGGGAGTTGTAGGTACTGCAATCTAAGAGCACTCTAAACTGTTACTGTGCTGATAGGCGTGGCCTTATGTAAGCCGCCCCGGGTCCCCTTGGGGAGATGGTGGTGGGATATAAATAAAGTTTGATAATAATAATAATAATAATAATAATAATAATAATAATAATAACAACAACTCCACCAACATTGGACCTAGAACTACCTTGGCACACAGAACCCTCCTGACTGACAAAAAAATAGTGGAGGTCTTTGATGGATTTATAGGAGTTGTAGTTAACTTACATCCAGTGAGCATTGTGAACCCAAACACCAATGGATCTGGGCCAAACTTGGCACACATACCTGATATGCCAAAATTTGATTACTGGAGGGGTTTGGGGGAAACTGACCTTACTTTCTGGGAGTTGTAGTTCACCCACAACCAGAGAAAATGTGACCTCCACCAGTGACCAAACTTGGCACATATATCTGATATGCCAAATTCAATTACTGAAGGGGTTTGGGGGGAACTCATCTTCCTTTCTGGAAGCTGTAATTCACCCACCTCCACCAATGGTGGACCTAGCCCAAACATCGCACACAGAATCCCCATGACTAACTCAACCTATTGGAGGGGTTTGAGGGGCCTGACTTGCCATAGTGGGAGTTGCAGTTTACCCTGCAGACAGAGAGCACACTGAATTCCATCAATGGTGCATCTAGAGCAAATTTGCCCAACATAAAAAACTTTAAGTACTGATGGAGTTTTTCGGGGTTAACCTGACATGATCTGAGTTGTAGTTCAATTTGAATTAAGTGCAATTAAAATTTGACTTTTCCAAATAACCCGGGCAACGCCAGTTACTAAAGCTAGTAGATAAATAAAACAGAGATACAAATACACACACTATCTTACCAATATGTAATCCATGATTACAATAATATAATAGGTAAAGAATAGGTAAAGAATATATATAAACTAAAGAAAAGCAAAGATGTAAATACTGAACATCTTATAGTTCAAACTGTTTATTAATATCCATTATTTAACAATAATACATTAACATCTATTTGTTAATTTATTTATATGGTAAATTTTAGTTTAATTAATCCTATCACTATAGTGAAATTATGCAAGTTTACCGCAAATGCTCATTTTAAAAAAACAAACAAAAAACTATCATTAATTGCTTAAAGAGCTGGAATTCTTTAAAAAACCAGCCTTGTGTTGCCCTTCTGAATGTGACTCAAGAAAGTGTAAGGAAATATCAATCATGGTCAAATAGGTTTAGTTGCACTAGTACGCAATTAATTTCAACCTGATCTACCCTCCACCAGCCCCAATAAAATAAAGTTTAAAAAGGAGAAATACTTGCCCAATCTATTGCAAAGATGACAGATTAAAGAGACATTTTTTAAAAGATGCCAAGCCTAAATGGTAATGTTTCACAAATTATATGGGGAATGACATATGGCTGACTTGTATGACACCTGAGTTCGATCAGATTTAATGCTGATAAGCTTAACTCTAGCCTGCCTACCTCCCAAACTTTTAAGAGGAATTTCAGATGAATACACAAATCAAGACCAGCCCTCAAGACTGAGGCTCATGAATCCTACAAGAAGTAATAAATCCACTGCCACCAGGAATAAACACTCCATTTAAGAAACCTGAGCTCACAGGAATTTAGGAGGTTCAGAAAGAAGCTTCATTAGAGCACTAGAAAGCACACTAATATCCTGTAACAGAAAAAACAGTTTTGATGGATGGGTGGGTTACTATTCAAAAGCTCTTGTAGACACGATAATTATAAGGCAACCAGGATCTGGAACTCCAGTGGCTCCTTCAGAATCAAAGAATTACAGCAAAAAAAAAAAAAAAAGAAAAGAAAGAAAAGAAAGAAAAACAACAAAAAAACCCCCCAAAAAAACCCTAACAAAACAAAACAATTAAACACATTTAAAGTATGAGCATAGAAATATCCATCTCTAATTCACTGAAATTTGAGTACATCATGAGATTCACTGCAAACAGCAATCTCTAATTTCAAATTCTATGAATATTTAGATATTACATGTCTTGCAAGTCCAAACATCCTTACCTCTAAGACAAGGAACGGATATTTTTTAAATAAAGTTTTGAAATCTGATTAACATGAGCCTAAAAAATTACTTTGTTTTGTGGTGTAGATTTATGCTCTCCTTTTCAATAGTGTACAGACAGGTATTGATCTTCTTTCCCCATCTCAATAATTGAGGAGGAGGAGGAGGAGGGGAATGTAGCTTAATGGTGTAGATCACCTGCGTTTCCATTTTTGTCATCTTCTATTTTCCTTTTGTTGCCTCCAGATATTTGGTATTACAACTCCCATGGACTCTTCCATATAGGGAATGGCAGAAAAACTTTAATTTAGCCACAACAAACTATTCACTGGTAGTTAAATTAGTATAATGCACTCTCTGCAGTGCTGCCCTTGAAGATCACCCAGAAGCTACAACTAGTCCAAAATGTAGCAGATAGGATTGTTAATCAGAGTATCAAGTGAAAAACACAACACTCAGGAAGCTGCTGATGTTCAAAGCATTAAACAGCTTGGGACTTTAATTCTCCGTATATATACCTGTCCGACAATAGAGATTTGGCAGAGCTTTGTTCTTAGTTCCACTTGTGGAATGATACACCATGAAGGGACATAGGAAAAGGCCTTTCCTTTCATTATGCCCCATATATGGAATGTCCATAAAGAGATGGAGGCTCCCAAAGGCCTGATTGTAAACAATATTGGTCTTTTTTAGGCACCAAGTTAAAATGTGATTTTTATTAAAGACTTTGGGCTTCATCTTATTACTTTTTAAAATGTGTATGTGCAGCCGACCCTTCAGATCCATGGGTCTATGAATTCAACCTATCACAGCTAGAAAACACAGTATTCGGAGGGAGAGGGGAATCATAAAATAAATTCTTTATTTTGTCACATGTGAGAACATTAGGCTAATATGTAGGTTCCTGTCATTTCACAGATGTCTAGGTTCTAACTGGCACTCTTCTAAGTAATTTGGCATAGTATACAAAAGATAATGCAACTTGACTATCTGGGGATTTTGGTATCCATGGGCAGGATACAATTTTCTTGCTTCTTGGCAGGGTGTTGGACTCTATGTCCCATGTGGTCTCTTCCAACTCTATGATTCTAGGCATAGAACCAAATTCTAACAGATCCTGAGGGCATACTGTACACATCTTTTTAACAATTTTAGCTTTTGAAGAGACTGTTTTGACCTGATAATCATGTGCTTCTATCCTATTTAAATTATTCTGTTGTTGTTTTTTTAAATCTAGAATTGTTGATACTGTATTATTTTAATTGAATGTTATCTTGAGAATCTCAGAGAAGCAAGAAAAACAGAAACAGTACCTGCAGGACCATGGACAGATCAGTACGTACAAGGAATCTTTAAGCACTAGTTGATGTTATGTCTTTCTAGGCCCTGACTAGTCTTCTGAAGCTCCAATTTTATGGCTAAGATGTGATGTACAGTCAGTCCTTCAACTTGGAACACTTTTCCTTATTCTAACAGGAGGTTGTTAGATGAGACTAGATGAGAAGCAGAGCTCTTGTTAGATGTACTTTGTTTTAATCTTAAATTGCAAGGTGCATTGGTTTCCATGTCAGGAGAAAGGTGAGATTTAAATTACATAAATAATCTGGTAAATAAAGGAACCTGTCAAGCTAGCTGTCAATATGCTGTTTCAATTGTCCAGGCCATCAATCAACACTTTGAGAATTAACGAAAGGGTTGTATTTCTTTGATGGGAAAAAAAAAGGCTCAATTCAATTTTTAATATCAATTACTATCACACTGGAAACCTGGTAAATAAGCGCTGACATGAAGTTAAAAAAAAATCTAGTATAGCTGGGATTAACAACTGAATTTAGGTTAGGTAGAGTCACAGTTGTTGTTTCTGCCCATGACAGATATGAAGAATTTCACTGGGAAATTTGAGTTCTAAAACCTCTCAAGGAAGGATCTGAGCGCAGTAGAGGCAAAAGGAGGAAGCAGGTCAGTTTATTACTTATCATTGCTTCAACACACCAGTTTATTGAATCAGGAAAAAATTAAGTCCGAACGTTGTGTGAGGGACTCATGGCTCTTATAACAAGGTTTTTGAAGTATTGAATGGTAGTTCTGATCTGACAGATCTAATCTTCCCCGTCTCTGCATTTCAAAAATGCATCTGAACAAGTGAATTTATTTGAAAAAGTTAATTCATACTGATACTTATCTAAGCTACTAAACAGTTCATTTAAATTTCCCATTCTGTGAGTAGTCCAGCACTTCAAGAAATATCCACTTTCTTGTTGCTTAACAAAGGGGTGAGACTAGCCTATTTCCCAAAAAACTACTTCAGCAAATTATTTGTTGTTTTCTGATTGGGGAAGAGTTTGTTTGTTCATCTAAATTTCTGATCAAATGTTTTGGAACTTCTCTCTGTTTAGTTCTTTAATAATTTTACTGAATACAAAAAAGAGAGTTCATCTGGCTCTCTTACCTACTCTGAAGATTGGATTCTGCCATACAAATTTGATTTTAAATAAGTTAAAACAAAACATTATGAAAAGACCTATCCTTTGTTTGTTTGCTGTTGTTGTTGTGTATATTCAAGTCATTTCTGATTTATTGTGACCCTAAGAAAAATCTACCATATGAAGTTTTGGCACTGCTTTTCTTTCAGGTTGAGTATGACTTGTACAACACCACCCAGTGGGTTTTGGTGGGTTACGCTGATTCAAAAACTGGTGTTCTGGAATACCAGTTCCAACACTCAAAGTAATACACCACACTGACTGTCATGCCTTGCTGAGTATCTAGGATGTGTTTATTTTTAAAATGTGAATGATAATGCCTCTGAAAAATATAGGTAAAGAGGGTCTCACATGTTGTTCTATCTCAAAGGATTGAATACAGACATACTAAAACTTTGCTCTCTTGGTTTGGTAAGGCCAGTTGTCACCAGACATCTACAAAACAATGCACAGGAAGCCACAAATGTACAATAGGAGTAACAGATGGCAGAGGGGGCACTCTTAGCTGTTGCTTTCCTCCTGCACCTGGCTGGCCATACTAATTCTCTCCAACATTTGCAAACAGGCATCTACAATTCTATTTAGGGGGGAAAAGATGGGGAAGTAATGATAAGGAGAAACTTGCAGGCAGTGGAAGGGGTAAACACGTATTCCACCTGCCAGTGCTCCATTGCAAATTAAGAGCTGCCACACCACTGCCGCTTTGCAGCTGTTCAGAGGTGATCTGGCTTCCTTGTACTAGATCTGCCACTGAGCATCTGGCTCAGTCTTCAGAGTTAGCTTTTTTGAGTGCTGTTTTTATAGCCAGATTGGTGCAGCAGTGTTGCACAGATGACAGAGCTACAACAAGCTTTGCTTTTGCTGTGACCCAGAGTATTGCTCAGCTTTGTCTATAAACTTTATGAGCCCATAACAATCTAACTGAATGCAGCTGGACTGTTCTGTCTCAGCACTAAACATCTTCAAAAAATGGTAATGACAAAAATAGAACAAACAAATGGGAGTCATAAAGACTTTATATGAGGACTGCTGTCCTTTCATAAGAACATTCTGGTGGCATAGTATCTCTTGGGAAGAAAGAGAGTTAAAGTAGGATTCACAGATTCAATATCATGGGTGTATAGCGAGCACACTTTATAACATTTACCTGTTGTTTGCAGAAACTATCTTTTCTATCTCTGATCTATGTTCAATGTGAATAGAATAAAAAAGCGAATGAAACTCATCAAAAAAGATTCTACGTTATTTTATTACAGTTTACAATCATAATATTTATATTTAATTAAATATAATTTTTAAAACACCCAATAATGCCTGGGATCATGTCATACTCAGCTGAGCATAACATACATATGACATTATTATCTGTAATTAAAGGTAACATATTCAAGTCAGAGAATCATTCCTTTTTAGGGTAAAAAAGTAAATTCACTGCTACCATAGGGAGAGCTGCTTTGTCAACAAAAAATCAGAACAAGATGCTTAGTTCTTTCTCCACCAGGTGTCCTGTGGTCCCCTCCCCCCAGGAAATTTCATGGAAGTACAGCAACAAAGAATTGGAAGAGATCACAAGAGCCATCCAATCCCCCATTGCCATGTTAAAAAGCCTTCAAAGAAAAAGACTCCACTATACTCCAAGACATTATATTCCACCAAACAGCTCTTACCATCAGGAAGTTCTCCCTAATGCTTAGGCCATTTCTTGTAATTTGAATCCCCTGCTCCATGTGGTAGTCTCTGGAGCAGCAGGAAACAAGATTGCACCACCAACTCTCTAGGCAATTGGTCCCATCACCAAATTGCTCCTGGACAGCAGAATGTCTGTGGCAGCTTCAGTGACAACGGTGGCAGCTGCATCCCATACCAGCAGAATCTTCAGAGAAGCCCTAGGGCCACCCTGTTGCCCAGGAGCTGGAGAAAAGTGTGCCATTTCCAGCACCCAAAGAGCTACTGCCACTACCATTTTTCCAATTAGGCATCCCAAAAGGCCAGAAGCAGCACTGTGGCAGAAAGGTAATCACATTAATCCATGTATAAGTCAACCCATCAGAAATCTGGCTATCCCATATATTCTTATCATTCAGGCACTAATTAAAATGATGAGAAGTACAATTTGGAAATAAAAGCTGAGAAGTTGCCAGCCACAGAGATATTTTAGGAAGAGTATTTTATTACCTCAAGCAAAAAACATCCTTTATAATCTCAATCATGGCTTGAGATCTTAAAAACAGCATTCAAATTCGGCTAACCTAAACCAAAGACAATAAAAATATAATCTGACACTGGAATTAATACTGAATGGTACTACTGGAATGTGTCTAGACTCTAGGGTCTCCTACCTTTAATGTTATTCTGGGATGTTTTCTAAATTGAAGTTTTGGTTTTTCAATCACAGGAAGAGGTGGAAGTTTTTGAAGTTCTTGCAGGACTGCTATTGCAGCATGCTTCTTTGACAGCTTTTTACTGTTTCCTTCACCCTCAGCAGAGAATTCTCCTACTGTCACATGAGTAACAAAACTCTTCATGTGTGGCGGCCCACTTTCTTTTGTTACCTATTAGTCAAGAAAAGATAAGCAAATAAAATAGGTAAAAAGATTCACTTCTGCTACATACATCTACATTAATTTGTAAGAATATGTAACTGCGATAAATAGGAAAATTGACAGTTAATAAATAAGCTTGATAAAGTATTTTCAGTTGCAGAGAGTAGTATTTTACTTACTTTTCAATTTTCAGTTCAATCACTGTCTTGCTTCATAATTAAAACCTACAAATACTAAATGCCACAGGTTTCTACTGAAAAAGATAAACCAGTGTAAAGAGACTGAGCTATGAGGTCTTGGACTGAATCTCATTTCTGCCATGACCTCACTCAATAGATATAAGCAAACCATTCTTTATTAACCTTAATCTGTCCCAGAGCTTGGAAACAACTATCACCCACAAATTCTCAAACACCAGCCATCTGGATTTAAGGAGCTATAGACTAAAACAAAAATGAAAACAAAAACATTTTCTGGACTGCTTCTGTAATTGGAAGACAACAATGCCAACTAAGCTGTTATGTGGTTGCCGAGCTGTATGACCATGTTCTAGCAGCATTTTGTTCTGACATTTCACTTGCACCTGTGGTTGGTATCTTCAGAGGATCAAATGTAGGTGAAAGATCAGGAGAAAATGCTGCTAGAACACGGTGATACAGCCTGGAAAACACACAAAACCCCAGTGATTTTGGCTATGAAAGCCTTCAACAATACAATGCCAACTAAATGTACAGGTTTGCCTGAGCATTACCAACAGACAAGGCACAAGAAGTACACTGAACACTTGGAAGTGCTCTAGAAAATGTGTGTGTGTGTGTGTGTGCGTGTGCGTGCATGTATGTATGTATGTGATTTTATTCTCAATAAGTGTTCTTAGGACTATATTCCACCTGAATGTGTTAGCTCACCTGAATTTCAAAGATATTAAAAGAATCTCTGGATTGCATTACTCATGGAATAAAGAAATTAAAACTCTATTCAAGATTTACATTTCCTTTCATCTTACAAGCAGGGTTATTAAGTACTGTTAGAAAAATGTCCATATAAGGTTGTTTTTCAATGACTTAAAAAGCAAAAACGTTCCCTGCTTCAAGGGCTATTTTCCCTTGGGAGTTTTCTGCTGATGGCTGCCTGCTGGAAGTGGGTAGAAATACCATTTTTTTTCTGCCACAACTTTTCCCATTTCTCCATCTTCCACCTACTACTCTGTTTTGTGGCTGCCAGGCTGCCAGAGAAGGAACAGATTGTCCCAGAGGCCTGTAGAGTGCATAGCCTGAAGCACATTTCTCAACCTGGCACCCACCTGACTACAGCGTACAACATCTGGAGGTTGCCATGTTGGGAGAGCTGCAACGGTATTTTGAAATGAGTTCAAAGGAGGTTGTCCATCACTGACATACTATTTGTTTAGACCTTTTGCAATTTTTTTGGAAGTACAAGCTCTTGAAAGAAGAAAGTACAACAGGAATACCCATACAATCAAATATCTAAGAGCCAGTGTGTTTATTGGGAAAGGCTAATGCTATTGTAAGATCTGGGTTGAAATGTCTACTGCAAAAAAAGTGTACTGAACAGATATTGTTTATACAGTGAATCCAAAGAATATATAATACAAAATAGCCTCAGCTTGGCTCTGGATTTGAAATAACCAGAAGTAAGAGAAAAACAACCTGGAAATATTTGCAAGGAAGAATCAGTACAATGATTTCCACCAATGAAAACTATTAACTCTGCAAATGTGTTTGAGAATCTATTTTTACTGAGGAAGGGTTAGTATCCCTCATCACCTGAGCAGATTTTACTTTTGAGAGAGAACAAACCAAACTACACAAAGACCCACCACTTCTGGTAGGCCTACCCAGTCAATTTTAACTTGTGAATTTCAATCTGCATTTCATTAGTGGATTTTAACTTGTATTTTAACTCTGTGTATTGTGCTGTATGTGTTTTAATAGCATTCTATCTTTTGTTTTAACAATGTTGTACCCCACCTCCAGGCCCGTAGCCAGGATTTCGTTTCGGGGGGGGGGGGGCGGTTTTTTCAGGGGGGTTTCGGGGGGGGCTGAGTTTCGGGGGGGGGGCTGAGTCTGAGTGAAAGAGGCTCTAGCCTAGCAAACCTTTTGTATCATTACCCCAATACCCCCATGCATATGGGATATATTGAGTATGGTGATCAGATCATGATATGAATAAACATAACAGTTTAAATAATGCACCAGTAAGGCCTTTTCGCGAACCACCATGAGAATTTCGGGGGGGGGGGGCTGAAGCCCCCCGAGCCCCCCCCCCCCCCGGCTACATGCCTGCCCACCTCAAGTCACAGGGAGAGGTAGGTAATAAATTATTATTTATTGTTATTATTACTATTACCATTGTTGCTGTTGTTGTAACTGTTATTATTATATTTAGATGGACCTGCATATTCTGCAGGAGGCTCGCTGAAAATTTCATTGGAGCGACTTGAGTTCCTAAAGAAATGATACATCACTCAGTATAAAATGTGAGTTCTCACTTCTGTTATATACACAATGGGTATATTTTTAATATGGGCTATGCATAATTGTGCCTCTTCATATATTTTGGATACATAAGCCACATCTATGGCAAGTGATTTAACTTTTCTTTTTTTGTATCACTGTGCATTTCCAGAAATTGAAAGGTACACCAATCACTCACAGTACTTTTCCTCTGTCCCCAGAAGTTTAAAAAAATGAATGTTACACATGGAAAAAGAAGGGGATCATCGTTGTTTACAATCTGTATCAGCACGTTAGAACTGCAACAGCAGTTGTAATGTCAGAGGGAAGGATTTCTCTTAGTAGCTAAGAGGAAGAAGGTAGAAGAAGCTAGGTATGCTCACTTTACTGGCCTTTAGGCCCTATTCCAGACTCCATTGTAAAGATACTGAGTTGTTCCACTGGATATGTAGCACACCATAATGGGCCCCTATATAAATGACAAAATATCACAATTGGTAAGGGAATGCTGCAGTAGCAATGCCACAACAAAACTGAATATATAAATAATACAATTGCTGGAAGTGGCCTCTAAAAATTAAGCTGTAAAATAAAGCTTCCACTGTTTCTAGTACTGAAATCCATGAAAATTGTCAATACTGACTGCATTTCCCAACATCAGATGAAACTGCTAAAAGCTGGAACTAAACTTTTAGCCATAGGCACGTTCAGCACTGTTGACAATGTGTCTAGAGCTGTTGTGCAATTGTCAAAGGCAATTATGTTTGTTATGCAGGAAGACAAATAGCCAACAGTGACAAATGGCACATTCCTCCATCTACCTTTCTCATCTGGCAGAGTGCCATTTGGATTTTTTTAACAGAAGTATTTTTTGTATGATAAAAGGAGTAAATGAATGCTCATTATATCAGATGATGAAGATTTAGTCATTTAAAAAATATGCAAGGTGACCCATTTATTCAAACTAACATGCTGCAATTTCAATAATCCTCCCTTATTTTTAAAATCTATTTTCCTTGATAAATGTAAGCTCCCTCTTTTGGCATTAGAACACACACATCTTATGTGTCACTGTTTTGTTCCTTATGGGTCGCACCCTGCGCAGTTGCTACAGCAAAATGTTCCTTTGACACATAACTTGGTAAGGTTACTTTTTTTGAAACACAAGTATCAGAACCCTTCAGCGTGCAAGGCTATGCTAACTAGAGAATTACAGGAATTGAAGGCAAAAAGTAACTGTACCAACCTGTGCAGATGCATCAATGTGTGTGCATGTGTATTGTGTACTTTCAAGTCATTTCAAAATTATGATTAACCTGAGGCAAAACTATCAGAATTGCAGAATTGAATCATGAAAGGTTTGCTTTGGCCTTTCCCAGAGATTGAGAGGATGTGATTTACCCAAAGTCACCCAGAAGATTTCCATGGCTAACAGGGTATTCAGACCCTAGTTTTGTTGTGTCTTTTCTAACATCCAAACCACTACACCACGCCGGCTGTATAAATAGCTTGCAATAATATCTGCAACATTATCAAATCAGTGCTTCAGACATAGAGCTAGTGATGACCCAATGCTAATGTTCCATAAAAATACTTACACAAATCTACTAGATTAGTGTAGGTGGACCCACTCTGAGCTGGAACTATGTTTCACAAAGGGACTACTCACTAGGATATCTTGTACATCAGGGATGGGCAAGTGTGGAAGGTTAGTGGACTGCATTAGCATTTCAGGAAATCCTGGAGGACCACATACCTCCATTACACTTGCATTTCCCCCCAGATACACACTAGGGAAGTCTTGGAGGCATCTTCACAATGTTTTGGGGACTTGCTGGTGCATTTTAGCCAAAATAGACTAGAGGTAACTTTTTGTTCATTATTCCTTTCAAAAAGGCCTTTCATGGGGACTAAAAATATGACGGAACACACAACCTATATTTCCTACAGGAAATTTTGAAGCAAATGTTTTTGTCTCCTTGAGTGGGGCAGGGGATTTCTCCAAATGTGACTGATGTGCTCCACACATCATGTGGAGTCATCTGGGGCATTTTGGAGCAAAAAAGAATTTGTAATTTTTCAAAATTTTAACACCCCCCTCCTTGGGGGAGCCCTGAGTATAAGGCCCATGGGCTACATTTTGGCCAGCACTGTTGTATTAAACACGGGAAGCTGTCATACACCATCAGACCATTAGCCCATCAGGCCTAATAATGTTGATAGCGACTAGAAGATGCCAAACACTTTTTCAAGCAAAACATTTCCACCATCATGAAGTTGAAAAATTGGTGTGATATCTTGTGTTCCTTTGCAGTGTTATCATAAACATAAAAAGTTTAAATATGCAAAATTATCACAGCAGCAACAAGGCACATTCATGGAAGACAGCTCTTACACCAGCTATTTGTCAAGACAGTCAATGGATACCTCAAGAATAAGAACCATTTTACCAATGAATGATAGTTTCTGGAGAGCAATAACAGGATAGGGCTGCTACCTTTAGACTTTGCCATTGGCTTAAAAAGGATGTTAGAATAAAGGAATCTTTAATCTGATACAGCAAGGATCTTCTTACATTTTTGCATAAACCGCAGCAAAAGGAGAACAAAAAGTATTTTCTGACTAACGGGAAACACTGCTCTTTAAGCAAGCATGTAATTCTAAAACCAAAAAAATTACTAAAGTTTCTTATGTGTTTCTAAAAGATATTAGATAACAAACACTAGCTCCACTTTATCAAGAAGGCTGAATGGGATTAGACAATAGTACAATTCCTCTGGGCAAAATATTTAGGGCAAGATTTCACCCTCAGGCAGCGCTGCTGACATCACTGGGCAGAACTTGGCTCTGGTTGCCTTATATACCCCACCCATTCTCCAGATATTGTGAAACTCTGAAAAGCTGTTTACATCAAATCTGAAATTTCTTTAACTGTTTGCTAACTTATATAACAGGCAATGATGTAACACAGGTTGTGGTTTTGGTAGCCCATAGAGGCTGGATGCTTTGCTACTTATCATGAAGACAAAGACATTTGAAAGCCTTAATGCATGCCTGACAGAAAATAATACCAACAGTTCTTAAATTAAAATCCTATTACAAACACTAAATCATGTGGCCTGTTACAAAATCATGAGTCACTGGAGGGAAATAAAAATGTGCTTCCAAATATAGTGCTTATATTAAATCTACACTCAATCTGCAATTGTCCAAGTCTGTCCACAGAAATGCAGAAGTGGCCTACTTCAGGTTGGTCAGTAAATAGTGTGCTGTTGTCCTGTTGATTTAAATGGGAATTGCCATATATACTCATGTATACATCTAGAAGTGTTAGTGGAAAAAGCAACCCAAAAATCTGGGTCAACTTATCAATGAGTACTGGAAATGAGTAGTGTACTTTAATTCATGTGTTTATCACAGTTCCCCAGTTACAAACATCTGCTTACAAACAACTTATAGTTAAGAGTGAGGTGAGACAAAAGGAAGTGAAATAAATTGATTCACTGCAGAAAATTATTGGAAAAAGTTATCTTCACTGAAGCTTTATCACCAATTCACAACAGGCAAAATATTTCAAAATCCAATTATCAAAGGAACAAAAAGGTAAGGTAGAATCTTCTTAAAAGGGACACAGACAGCAAAATAAACACCACAGAGGTGCTAACTGTTAGGGAGCTCTGACACGGCTTGGTCCACGAGGTCACAAAGAGTTGGAAGCGACTGAATAAATAAACAACATCTATCTATCTATCTATCTATCTATCTATCTATCTATCTATCTATCTGGAGATACACTTTAAAATGTACCTTTGTTGACTTACATGCAAATTCAACTTAAGAACAAATCTATAAAACCTATCTTGTTCGTAACTTGGGGACTGCCTGTATATGAATGAATTAAGGTACAGTATTCATATCCACATATGAGAACCATCCCCTTCTCTGAGTATAGTGGCAAAAGGCAATAACTTAGACCATCCCAGAAGAATCTAAAAGAACCACCAACTCCCTCAACTTTTTCCACAGTGGCAACATTTTGGGTTTTTTAAAATCCCTGGGCAGGAAAATTGCAGTTGTAGCCATGGGAGGCTGACCCTGAGACAACATTGGTGTGTTCCCTTCTCCATGGAATGAACCTTGATTTATATATGAGTCATATCAAAATGCGTAATTTCAGCCCCCAACCATGCTTTCTGCCTGTACATAAGGTCAATTTATATACGAGTACATATGGTAAATTATACTGAATTAATCTGTCTCCAAATAACTGAGCTTCATGGAAACACTCCTAACCAAGCCCAGTCTTGTGTCTCAGATAATTTTCTTCCAGACAAAAACCACACTTTAAAACATAAAAACGCAGATTAACCATATATTACATGGTTACTATGAATTATATTCATCACCCTCTGAGAAATGAACAAGACAGCCACCCTGGTCCACAGAACAGAGTGTTACATTTGGAGAAAGGACACTTGTCAAGTTGGAAAAACAGACTTATTTTCATCTATATAATAAAGACGGATGTCATATAGTTGTTGTAAGCATGAGCACAGGTTATTAAAATAGTACTTACATGGTAAATAGTAGCTATAAATGCATACATATTCATCTGTGAATGAGGCGTTTTAGATATTTTAATTTATAGTTTTGCCTTGGTTAGGGGGACAAGACTCTCTACTAACCCAATTTTTTTTAAAAAAATCTAAAAACAAACACTATACACTCTATGAAGCTTCAGATTGAGAGGTAGTTTATCTATGGTTGTGAGGAAAAAAAGAAAAAGAAACTCACACAGTAACAACAGCCATTAAGTCTTTTTTTCCAGTTAGTGTGTGTGTCCAACATAGCATATATCTATTAGTATTTTCTTTCAGTATATGTTTTTGGTTAGAGCAAATGGTTTTCATTTATAAAAGAGTGACACGAAAAACTTACCTCAAAACGAACAGGCATGTTGCGCTTCAATGCAATTTCAAACACTGTGCTGATCTCTGACTTGTTTGCATCTTTTTCCTCTTCTGTTTCTTTACCTGACTCTTTATTCTGGTTAAAGGAAATGTGGAATTTCTGTTAAAACAACTGCTTCCCATGAAAATATTTTTAACAACTACAGAACATTTATTTTCAAAAACATAAGTATACTCATTTTTAATTGCAATTCTGTTATGGTATTCTTGGTTAATATATATTATGTGAAATAATTTGATTTTTTTTCTGTTATGCACCCAAGACTGCCAAATTGGTTGATGGGCTATGAACTTTGGAAGAGTCATATCTAAGGTCTCATCTACACGACCCTGCTAATCTGTGGCCAGAACAGAGCAGGGAATGCCTCGGAGCAGACTGACCCTGAAGGTGGGTCATACACATCATCACCAACCTGTGGCATTATATGGTCCAAGACCGCCTTGGCCCCACTGGACCACCACTTTACTTTCCATGTTACCATTGCTGCTCCCAGGTGGCCACAGAGCTCCATAATAGCATCCCAGGCTGATATCTGTAGCGGGGACTGTGTGACCAGGAAGAAGAGCCCTGTTGACCCCACAGTAACCACAAAAGTGGCTGAACATCGTATGTACAGTGAGTACGGGTTATTAGGTATGTATAGATGAGCCCTTAGAGATAGTAACTTCTTTAAATATTAAAAACATTTATGTTTTTCCTTTCCCTCAGGAGCTCAGGTGCCATAAATAGGATTCCACCTTTAGATATTGCCCATAAATGGAAAAAAACACATTTCTGGAAAACTCAAAAGTTAAATTTTAAAATTCTGTTTCAGTAGCACAGTATTACCCAACTTTTTCCATATTCCTTAATCTTTGGTTAGCAAAACAAACCATGGTTGTATTGGCACACAAAATTTTAGCACCAGGAAGTACAGCAGTTACATATTGATTGATCTGTGGGTGAGGATTTAAAAACCATGGCTGCACATTACTAACCAGTCAGATGCAAATCTATAGAATGCACTCATTCAAACTGTACACTACTAAATGCCTTTTCTCTCAAATCACTCCAGTACAAAGGCAGACAGTAGGGATCGAGCAGAGGCTAAACAGGGACACAAGTGTTCTGCTGCATTATTCATTGTCACTGGCACTGAGCAGCAACAGCCCTTGAGACCTTTTCCACGTAAGCTCTCTTACCACCAAAAGGAAAATAAAGAAAAGGGGATGAACAGTTGATTGGTAGTTCCAAAAGATCCATGGTTTACGTGTGATTCTCATCACAGTAGGGAAGCTCTTGGCTACATATTCCCTTCTCAGGCCTCACTTTGGCTGCTGGGCAGGAATAAACTGGCAGCTGTACAGCAGTTCTTTCATGAGGGCAGGTTTGTGTTCCCATGCATGCCTCGCTTTCCCCACTGCTGTTTGTGTTGTGCTTTCCCTAAATAGTCACAATAAAGATTCAAAGCTGTAAAGTCTCTCTGTCCTGTGCGTTAGAAGACTTTGAGTGCCCAACACAAAGCAAAGGGGAATGCCTAAAAGTTTCTTATTCATTCAGTACAAACTTTGTGTCAAGTGCACTACATCTTCAATTCCAACACAAGCTGAGACAGTCACAATATTAGCAAAACATGAGGCAATACCAATAGGAGTGATGAAGTTGTTGAGCTATCTGGTATCTGACTTCGACCAAGGTATAGATTTTGCAAAGGTTTGTAAGGGAGGGCAATATAGAAATAACAATTCCATATAAGTCTATTAATTCTTGTAAATCTATTTAAAGTGTTACTCAGAATGTAACTACAGTTGGATTTGAATACCTAGGATCTTCTATGTAAATGCTATGTATTATGAAAATACATAAGGAAGTGTCGGCTCAATGAATCATGACCAGGGTTTTGTAATGAATTTAACAATGACTAAGAAGAAAAATAACATCTTCTGCTACCTTCTAAGTGAGATCAGAACTTGGATTAGCTGCCTTTTTTCCAATTGCATGTTCCAGAATCCCACTGTCACAGCTATAAACCAAAATGCTAACTTTCTCAAGCTTCAATAGTCTATTCTAACCCAGTGCTGTCTTTTCCAAATACCAGGGGTCTTCGGGCTTTCACAAAAGCTGTTTCAGCTCTACTACTGGAGAACATTTTTAAAAAATGAAATATTTGCTACTGAACATAAGACATAGTCCCATGATCTTAGCTATGCCGCTGAGTATAAGACGCAGCCTGCCTTTTGCCACTTCTTCCTTCAGGGATATTGCATTGTTATTAAATGAATGACATTTTGGAAAATCTCCAAGGGCATAATGCAAAAAAAAAATCTTAATCAAACTCCATTGAAATTAAGGGTTTTCAAAGAATCCTTTCACCTATTTCATTAGCATGGACTTCTGCATACTAACTCAGATCTAAGTTCCAAAGTGTTCAGTGAAAATTGTGGCAAAGTAAACCTGTAGGATAATTTTAATCACAGCTAAACATTGCTAGATTTTGAAAAGCTTAATACTACTCTTCAGCACAGATTTTTAAATGTATATTGTCTATCAAGATGGAAGTATATTCCCTCTGCCTTCTGGCTGTGGATTAAACTAGATATAGCCAGTGAGATCAATGGCCATAATCTCTTGCTTTCTAGTTGGATTTTAAAGCAGCTGCCTGGGGCCAATGATTGTGATTGAAGTCTTGGGGAAGAGGGAGTGAACTGTTATGCCTATCCCCCACATCAACACTCATACATACATTTTAACTCCCACTCTTACTCTGCCCATGAGAAAAACTGTGTTTTTTTCCACTTCAAGCCAAACAGCTTCAAAAGGCAATGAGAAATGGCATGGGAGAGTTTTGTGTTCTCCTGTGCCATTGCCACGTCCTTCATCTATTTCACACATACACCCTTTTAAACCTTTTAAAAAATCAATATCCTAATCCTTTCATCCCACCCAAACTCTCTATGATAGCATTTCTATGATTCCAGATTTTCCAATCTGCAATTTAGATTTGAAACAGCCCTTATTTGTTAACCTACCTTTACATTTCTAAAATGTTTCCTTTTTAAAATAACCAAAGTGTTGACTTGCACAACTGCAAGGCTGAGCAAACTAATGATACGCCAAGGGACTAATAGACTGAATGCCTAAAACCATCTGACAGCTGTTCAGAAGCTGAGTCAAAATGACTTTGTGATCTCATTCTCATGCACAAAAATTCATATCAAAATGTCATCATTTGGAAGATTTGAAAGAATGTGATGAGGAGGAGGGGAAATCCCGCAGGGTACAGAGTTAGGGTTTGCTAATCTAAAACTGTGTATATGTGTTTTCCCCCCTTAGGAATGAGGGCATTTGTGAATTTCTTTTGTTACAGGAAGCTTAAGTGTAATTCAATATGCTTGTTTCCTCTTGATTATACCAAAGCTGATTATTTTCACCATATTCTGGAAAAAATTCATTTCAAAACACCATTTTACTTCTAAGTAGTACCATCATTATACCATCTTTGGCATAGGGCAATTGCATTGTAAGGCTTGAGTGTCACAGCATATGAAAGCATTGTGCTTATCATGACATGATTAAACCAATAAAACATTTTTAAATGTCTGATATTGTTAAAGAGAATCTATGACTTCTTGTTTCTGAAGAAGCACTTCTCAGACTAAGCCATTTCTGTATACAGCATAAAGGTTCTTCTGTGCCAATAACCAGGGGGGAAAAAGCCAAGTCTTAAACCAAAGCAACCCTTTCTATAGCGAGGCAACTCACCCACTTTGGAATACATCCTATCATATAATAATAATACAATGTGGTAACTATTACACATTACAAAACATTATAGTGCCATTCTAAAACTACGAATATCATCATCAACAAAAACTCAGTTTCATTAGACTTATACTTTACTTTTCTCAAGGAGGAGACGGGCTGATATAGTGGTTCAAGTGTTGAACTGGAGACTAGGCTTTAAACCTCTGTTTGGCCATGAAAATGTGGTGGGTGACTCTCACTTTTTCAGCCTCAGAGTAAAGCAAAGGCAGATTCCCTCTGAACAAATATTGCTAAGTAAACCCCTTGATAGGTTTACCTTGGGGTCACCGTAAGTCAGGTATGATGTGAAAGCAAAGAAAAACAAGAAGTTAAAACCAACTGCGACCATACCTTGAAAAGCCTGATGGCCACAGTGGTCCATGCCTTAGTTACCTCCAGAATGGACTACTGTAATGCTCTGTATGTGGGGATGCCTTTGAAGACGGTCAGAAACTGCAGTTAGTGCAAAGGTTGGCTGCCAGATTATTAACTGGAACTAGCTATAGGGAGCATGCAATGCCCCTACTAAAGCAGCTCCACTGGCTTCCAAAAATTTCCGGGCTCAATTCAAGGTGCAGGTTATTACCTACAAAGCTCTATATGCTCTATATGCTTCAGGTCCAGCCTATCTTCGAGACCACATCTCTTTCTATAACCCAGGGTGGGCTTCGAGAATGGCAGGGGAGGCCCTTCTCTCGATCCCACTACCGTCCCAAGTGTGGTTGGTGGAGACAAGAAAGAGGGCTTGTTCTGTAGTGACTCCCCAGCTTTGGAATACACTCCCAAAAGAATTAGGTTAGCCCCCACCCTTGAATCCTTCTGATCCAGCCTAAAAACATGCATTTTTAAGCAGGCTTTTGGCCTTGAGTAGGCTGAAATGGGCCCATATGAGGGTGACACTCTTACACTTCATTTGTGAATTGATGGCAGTTAGTTTTAACTACAGATGGAATGCATTTTAAATTGTGTTCTTTTATTTTATTTTATGTGTTGATAGCGGTTGTTTTATAATTTTTATGTTTTATTGTTTTGTATTGTTTTTGTATTGTTTTATACTCATGTACCGTTTATATTATATACTGCACCTGTAGTGCATTGTAAGCTGCCCCGAGTCCCTTTTTGGGAGATGGAGGCTCACAACTAATGAAAACAGACAAAAAATTATGATATTACAACATAGTCAAACAATTAAACACAAAAGGCACTTTTAAAAATGTGCAATCCATTGGTCAACGGAAACCGAATTAATAAAAAGCTGTATGGTGAAGTGGGCGGAGAATCTCAAAAGACCGATAGCAATGCATGAATGGGAAATAATGTGGAACAAGAAACTCAAGTACACCTATGCAACTGATTTAAAGGAAAATTGGATGAAAATGTTCCATAGGTGGTACATGACCCCAGTCAAACTAAACCATATGTATAAAGAAGTATCAAAAGCCTGCTGGAAATGCAATGAGCATGAGGGGAGTTTTTTCCACTTATGGTGGAGCTGCGTGGAAACTCAGAAATACTGGAAGAGCATCCATGAAGAAATGCAGACAATATTCAATAAAAAATTCCCGAGAAAAGCTGAGTATTACTTATTGGGAATTGTAGATGGAATCATAAAGTTAGATTCAAATGAGGACATTTTATTTATCTATTTGACAACGGCCGCCAGAATCGTCTTCGCGAAACTCTGGAAGCTGAAAGAAACACCAGACAAATCCCACTGGATAAAGAAGATAAATGAAATTAAGGACATGGACAGGCTAACTTTTTTATTAAAAAAGAATACAGGCAATCCAGTCAAACAGACTGACTGGTCAACAATCGAGGATTACATTGAAAAAAGATACAAGGATTTATAATTGTACTGAGACTATAACAAATATACAAAATAGAATATACAAGATGTATAGACAAAAAGACTATACGGGCAGAATTGGAAGGAAGTCCAACCCCCCCCCTTCTTTTTTGATAGGGGCTATGTGTATTTTTATTTTTATTTTTTTCTCACGGGTGTCATGGCTGTCTTTTTTCCTACTTTTCTATCATCTTGAAAATATTCCCCCACTTTCGCTGTATTCTTAAGTAACTCAATAAAAACTATTTTTAAAAAATGTGCAATCCATTAAAGGATGTTTCAGCTACAAAATATCAATGTTACCAAAAGGTCAGTTTGAATATGAAAGTCTTCAACTTTGGAAGAAAGAGCAACAGTTTTTTCTGGGAAGTATGTTCTACAATTGTGAAGGTGTTAAAAAGCATACTCTTTTTCATGTCCTCACTAAATACACTTCCGAGGGTGATGGGAACAAGAGAAGACTATTTTCTGAAGATTTCAGAGTCTGGACAGGTTTATCTGAAAGAATTTGACCCTCCAGATAATCTGAATCCAAGCTGTAAAGGGCTTGGTACGTCATAAGCAATAGATTGAATTGTTCCTGGAAGAAGGCCTAATCACAGCAGAGAAGGGGGAAACGAAAATGGCTTTGCAGGTGCTAACCCCCTAAATGCTTGTATCTCTTTTATTTGTGTATTCTAATGCTAACAGAATTCTTCCAAAGGAACAAGCTGACCCTGGAAAGGTTACATAGCATACTTTGTTATGCTACGATGCCAAGAGACGGGAATACGTTTTGTACCAAGAATGAAGGAATGGTTGTTTAGAGGCAACTGATGGCTATGGGTTCTGACTTCTCTCAAATTCTTTAATTTCATGGGATTTTCCCAGCACATGCGCTTTGCAGCTGGGACTTGGCAACCTTGGCATGCTATGTTAGAATGTAAGAGCTTGTTGACTGAAGTTCCCATTCTTCTCATATTCTGTCAGAGTAGGAAACAAATTTATTTCCTTAAATAAAGTTGAATTCTTGATTCACCTGGCCTGGTCTTCTAAGTTGCCCAGGAAAGTAAGTTTCCTTCAGTATTTTCTTCACAGGGAAATTCTGCATGCGCACATTGGGAATGTTGTCACACATGCAACACACACAATTGGGAATTCAACAAGTAGGTATATCACTACTTGGGGACAGGAGTCACTAGATCAACACTAGTTATATATAAGCCCCATGGTAATTACAATCTGTATATAATATCTTCAGTAAACCTTGTGAAGCCTCTCTTGTCTTAATGAGCTCTTTTGGGAGAAGAGAGAAAAGGAAATGGTGGAGGTGTGGTGCAGTCTCATCTCAAGCTGGGCACAACATGAAACGAGAGTAAACTTTCCAAGAAACTGAAGCTCACATCTGAAAATTATTCCCAGTTGAGGTCCCATGCCATACCTAAATGACACTTATTTGTAAAGCTGAACAGGGGAAATTTAACCCACTTAAAATGAACTAATATCAAGGAACAAACAAGCAAACAGAAAAAAGGTATTTTCTCCAAACACTCCTCCAACATTATCTAAATATAGGAACTAGAGTTTGAAAATGCAGGTTGAGTATCTCTTATCTGAAATGCTTGGGATCAGGAGTGTTTTGGACTTCAGATATTTTCAAAGTTTTGAATACTTCTATTTGCATATAAGTACATAATCTTGGAAATAAGACCCGTCTCAACACAAAATTCATTTGTTCCATATATACTTCATATATGATCACATATTTCCTTATGAACCTGTTCAAGTATTAAGATCTGCCAGGGAAGCCCTTCTCATGGTTCCATCTCCATCACAAGCACGGTTGCTGGGGGCAAGGGAGAGGGCCTTCTCATTTGTGTGCCCCCCCCCCAGCTCTGGAATGCCCACCCCAGGGAGATTAGGCAAGCTTCCACACTCTCAACTTTTCAGAAGGAATTGAAAACCTGGCCATTTAAACAGGCCTTTGACATTGGTTAATGCAATATCTAATGGCAGGAGGATTTAAATGGGACTAAGTTTTAATTGGACTTTCGCTTTTAAACAGACCAGTGGCTGGGATGTTTTAATTGGTTTTTATAACATCACCACTGTTTATTTTGATTTATGAATTATGTTGTTGTGTCACTTTAATATGCTGTTCTATTTTGTATATTATTTTTCATTACTTTTTGTTGATTTAAATTAATTTTGTTGTTTATCTTAATTCATTATCGTTGATGGTTTGCACTGTTACTGTCGCTTCTGGTGTGAGAGAATTGGCAGTTTCTCAAGTCGCTCCTAACACGACAAAAACACACACACACACAAAATCCTGTTACTGTGTTGTAAGCTGCTCCAAGTCCCCTCGGGGAAATGGGGTGGGATACAAATAAAGCTGTATTATTATTATTATTATTATTATTATTATTATTATTATACATATATATTAAATGCAATTTTATACACATTTTTAAATAATTTGGTTCAAGAAATGAAGTTTGTGTCCATAGGACCACTGGAAATCAAAGGTGTCACTATTCCAGTCACCCACGTAAACACTTTCAGATTTTGAAGTATTTCAGAATTCAGAATTCTGGATAAGGAATGCTTAACCTGTATTTGCTTGTGTCTGGGGGGGGGGGGGGGGGGGGAGAGAGAGAGATTGCTCACCTCAGGTAATTTGGGGGGAATTGGTTCATTCTGAAGAATCTGAAGTGCCTTCATAGCAGCATTGTGTCTAGCAGCTTGGCGAGTCCTCCCTTCTCCAAAAAACTCATGATGACCTACAGTCAACTGGACATGGAAAGTCTTAGGCACTGGGCAGTGATATCTAGAAAAAAGCAACAGTTAATTCTTCGTTTCAAATTACATAAACACACACAACCATTTATTAATATTGGACATAAATTCTATTTTTTTTTTAATTTGGTCGTGTCAGGAGTGACTCCTGGTGTGAGAGAATTGGCTGTCTGCAAGGACGTTGCCCAGGGGACGCCTGGATGACTTGATGTTTTTATGGGAGGCTTCTCTCATGTCCCCACATGAGAAGCTGGAGCTGATAGAGGGAACTCATCCGCCTCTCCCCGGATTCGAACCTGCGACCTGTTGGTCTTCAGTCCTGCCGGCACAGGGGTTTATTAACCCACTGCGCCACCGGGGGCTCCATATAAATTCTATTTGACAGAGATGTACTATCAATAAAGATAAGGTCCACAATATTTCAGTTAAGGAAGTCAATTAGAAATTTTTTTTAAGTCTTTGATTAAGCCAGCAGCAAAAGTTAAATACAATTTAAACTCATTCACTTTTTTAAAAAAACGTGGCATGGAGGCTTAGTTCTGTCCTTTCTTCTTCTGTTACCTTCTTGTGTTGAAATTTAAACTATAACTTCCTTGTGCAAGGAGATGAATTTTGTAAAGCAACAGTGGGTCCTTAGACTCATGGCATTGACTCACCCCTGCTGTCAGAGACATAAATAATGATAACAAATATCCAGAAACGTCAACTATAAATTAGATGGAAGCACATGTAACATTTGGCTACTTGGAGATAAGGTGAAGAGAGAAATGGTTTCCACTTCTCTACTCCAAATGGTTCTCCAACTGTTTTTCTCCACAGTGGGTCTGAAACTTATTTGGCCTCACAAACATGCATTTGGAATCCAGCAGATTAATTCACCTCAAGGAATTTGGAGTGAAACACCAAGAAAAGAGAAGTTATGTACCCTTGCCTCTCACCATAGATGACGATCTCCTTTTTCATGTAATGTTTTGTTTTGCTCTTAGGAATATTATTTCATTTCCTTACAGAGAGATATGCCTCCTTTAAGATGGCACTGTTAATTGCATAGGTGGGCATCATATAAAAGCAAAGTATTTTCCTTGAAAAACTGATTTAAAATATAGCTTTTTCCAATTAAAATTCTGTAGATTTAGCCTCAATTATGTTTGAACGGGAAGCAGTCCTAAAAAGTAGGCAGTTTTACCTTTTTGGTCTTCATATAAAATACTTTATACTAGTTGTACAATATATTTCTTCAATATTCTAGTTACTTGCGCTCATATTTTCCATAGCCAAATTCCACAAAAAGGATCTTGAACATGAGTCTCAGGCTGTACCTCTTAAACCTATGTAGCTAAATCTTCATGGCAGAAAACTGAACAAGTGCTCACATTCCTGTATCAGCTTAAAGCAGGGTAAGATTCATCCACAATTCTCCAGACCTTGATAAACAATTACTTCCATTTTATCTCACCACTGGCCAGTGGTTAGGCCTGATGGCAACTGGAGCAGATTTGGAGGGTTACAAATTTACCTAGTCTGCCACAAAAAGATATCAAAGGACTTTTGGGTCAGCTTTGTGGTTTGTTGTTGTTGTTTATTCATTCAGTCGCTTCCGACTCTTCGTGACCTGATGGACCAACCCATGCCAGAGCTCCGTCAGCCGTGGCCACCTCCAGCTCCTTCAAAGTCAAGCCAGTCACTTCAAGGATACCATTCATCCATCTTGCCCTTGGTTTGCCCCTCTTCCTTTCCCCCCAGCATCATTGTCTTCTCCAATCTTTTCTGTCTTCTCATTATGTGGCCAAAGTACTTCATCTTTGCCTCTAATATCCTTCCCTCCAGTGAGCAGACGGGCATTATTTCCTGGAATATGGACTGGTTTGATCTTCTTGCAGTCCAAGGAACTCTCAGAATTTTCCTCCAGCACCATAGTTCAAAAGCATCTATCTTCGTTGGCTTAGCCTTCCTTATGGTCCAGCTCTCACATGCTACAGGGAATACCATTGCTGGATCTTTGTTGTTAGTGTGATGTCTCTACTCTTCATTATTTCATCGAGATTGGTCATTGCTCTCCTTCCAAGAAATAAACTTCTGATTTTCTGGCTGCAGTCTGCATCTGCAGTAATCTTTGCACCTAGATATACAAAGTCTGTCACTGCCGCCACGTTTTCTCCCTCTATTTGCCACTTATCAATCTGTCTAATATTGTTTTTTATTTTAACTGCAACCCATCTTTTGCACTTTCTTCTTTCACCTTGGTTAGAAGGCTCCTCAGCTACTTCTTGCTTTCAGCCATCAAAGTGGTATCATATACACATCTAAGGTTGTTAATGTTTCTTCCATCAATTTTAACTCCAGCCTTGGATTTGTCAAACCCCGCACGTCGCATTATGTGTTCTGCATACAAGTTGAATAGGTTGGGTGAGAGTATACAGCCCTGCCGTACTCCTTTCCCAATCTTTAACCAGTCTGTTGTTCCGTGGTCTGTTCTTACAGTTGCTATTTGCAGGATCTTGAGCATTACCTTACTGGCATGTGGAATAAATGCAACCGTACGAAAGTTTGAGCATTCTTTAGCATTTCCCTTTTTTGGTATGGGGATATAAGTTGATTTTTTTCCAATCTGATGGCCGTTCTTGTGTTTTCCATATTTGCTGGCATATGGCATGCAACACCTTGACAGCATCATCTTTCAAGATTTTAAACAGGAAACAGTAATAGGGGGAGAAAAATTGGGGTGGCTGCCATCAGCATGCCGATGACACTCAGTTCCACTTCCCTTCGTAGTAGGATATGGCTGAGGTTGGGCAGGTGCTGGACCAGTGTCTGGATGAAACTTGAAAGTTGAATCCCAGTAAACTGAAGTAGAATGCCAGTAAGCCAAGGTAAGTAAGGTACTGCATTTTAATTCTGTTTTTAACACACTGTTGTTTATTTTTTTTAATTTTTGTATTGCACTTTTTAAACTTGTTTACTGTGGAGTGTGAGCAGCCTTGAGTTCCCACAGGGAGAAAGCCAGGGTATAAAGATGATGATGATAATTATGATGACAGAGTTTGCACTTAAGACTACTAGGCAGCTCTAGTAAAACTGTTAGTAGCGCAAAATGCACCAGGTAGGCTCGTGATAGGAATATCACACAAAAACCAAAAACATTGGTTTTAAATATACAAGTTGCCAAGGAATTTTTAGTTTCAATGCAAGATGCCAGTGATGACATTTAAAAGTGTAAATGTTTAAGATTCCAAAACTCGAAGGGATATCTTTTCATCTTGCAACCCTCCACCCTGGGTCTCTCTCTATACATCCAAAGTCATTCAGATGCCATGCTTTTGTACTAAAGCATTTGGATCCTTACTATACCCAAAATATACAATCATTTTAAACTATTTTAATTGGTCTTAATCTGTGTTATTTTAGTATTTTTCTTCTAGCCTTTAAACCATTTGTATTACTTCTGCTTTTTAAAATTAGTCAGGTTGGTTTTATTAACTGCATTAGAGGATGGAACAGAGATATTTAAATTATTCACTTTTTTGTTATTTATTTTAATCCCATTGTGTTTAGTCAGACTTAAGCCTAGATAGATGCATATGGTTTGGTCTGTGCTTTCAGTAATGATCTAGTATCTGTTCATTCATCCTGCTATCTACTTTCTGATAGTATGCTAGAGACATCTTACACTTACAAAAGATACTGAAGGAAATGTGCTAACAAAGTAAAGCAGCCTGTTTCTCTCACTCCAGGCATGTCAGGACAACAGAAGAATATTCAAAGCCAAAGTAAACATTATTTTCCCTTCCTGTTGTGGACTTTGAGACCTAGTCACTGAATAACTTTGTGGGAATTAAAGCTTATCCTGAGTAAAATATGTCCCCCTTTCAGTCTGACAGCAAAGCTGACTGTTCTCAACAGCATGTCTCATTGTATGACAAGATTTTTGTACTGTCTAACTGCTACTCAGAAAAAAATTAATCACTGGAGTTAATTCTCACAACCTGGCATTGTTGATTTGAAAAGAAGAACAAAAATGCCTTGTCAGAAAAGTTATTTATCTTAAGCATTATCCTGCCATTTTTCGAAGGAGTTCTGAGCTGCTTATATTTGACTTCTTTTACTTTATCTTCACAAGAAACCTATCGGGATTGTGATTGTTTTGGGCTACTAAGCAGATTTCATGGCTAAGTGGAGATCTATAGCTGAATGTTCCTGAGACAAAGCATTCTCATTATTTTTCAGGCAGCCCAGAAAAGTTTAGAAGAGTCTTTCTTTATCTGATGCTATCCAGATATATTTTATTATAATTGCTATCATCCTCAGCCATCATTGTGCAATATATCTAGGATGCACCTCTTCCAAATTCCTGGATTGATTCTCCCGCCCCCTCCTCACACACACACACTCCCCGCCCCCATTTTCCCATCAAAATCCTTTTAAGTGAAGTTATGGGGAATCCCTGGCACTCTAAAAGTTTCAGGACTATAGCAACTTCTCTAATCATGGCAGGAGTTCGAGAACATCTGAAAAATCACAGGTTGTCATCTTTTATTTTCTATGTGCTGGGACTACTAAACTAGTCAGAAGAGTTAGAAATTGCTTAATTCTTTATCTATTTGAATGCTCTTTCCTTCTCACACATCTAGGGCCCTTCCACACAGCTGAATAAAATCTCACATTATCGGCTTTGAACTGGAATATATGGCAGTGTGAACTCACATAACCCAGTTCAAAGCAGATATTGTGAGATTTTCTGCCTTGATATTCTTTATGGAAAAGCCCTAGGTGTTTCTTCTGACTCATCTAGGCAAGAGCTTTTTCTCTCTTGAAGAGCAAAATGGTTTCTTCCTTCTTTTATCCAGCTAATGCTCCTTCTGTTTTTTTTTCCACATACATAAAGAAGACCACTTTCCACTCAACAAACCCACATTTTGGTGCTTTTTCTCTTCAGAAGGTTCTCAACCTGTGGGTCCCCAGGTGTTTTGGCCCACAACTCCCAGAAATCCCAGCCAGTTTATCAGCTGTTGGGATTTCTGGGAGTTGAAGGCC